GAATAAGCTACCATTCATAGTTGCTGAGGGTTAGAATGTGGACATGCTTGGGGGCCATATTCAGCCTACCAGAGTCCTCTTTGAAACAATTGTTTAAAAGGGAAACAGCAGATGGCAAAATGGTTATGTTACTGGATTCCCATGTAGTCGACCACGGTTCAAGCCCAGGACCCGGTGGCTTAAACTCACACTAGGCGTGTGGACCTGTGTGCCCAAGATCCCGAGAGGAGAATGGAGAAGGGATTGCGGCATGGCCATCCCCCCAGGGAGTGATTTCTCACATTCCCTCTCACTGTATCTCTCTCTCCCTTTCTCTCTCCCCGGTGAGTACATGCGCCCTAAGGCAAGAGCCTCTTAAAAAAGAAAATGGACTGTCATTGCATCTAACTGTGGAGAATTAGACTCCATTCTCCCCCCAGGATCTCGTACACGCATGCACATGCACCCAGGGTGAGTTTCAAGCCACCGGGTCCAGACTCGAATTTCAGCCAGCCATGTGGGAGTCCAGGGACCATACATCAGCTGCTGGTCCCTGACTGGCCGTTTTCACTCCAGCCTTCAGTAGATCCTTCACTGCACCCGTGTGCCCTCCTCATCAGCCATCGAGCATATCCAGGCTCAGCCTCCTGCTGCCCCCTTGAGCCCGGGGTCGCTCAGAAGCCAGTGCTGCTGTCTCCTGTGGGAGACTCTGTCCCCACCCCTGGGAAGGCCCCGTGGCTGACGTGCTTGTGAAGCCCACAGGGCCTGTGTGGGAGATGAGCCAGGGAGGAAGGAGAGGCTCTGCATGGATGGCCAGAGGACCGGCTTCTGGTCCGCACAGCAGTACAGGTGCATGGCTGTGGGGCTCAAGCCAGAAGCTGCAGTGGGGTGTTCTGGGAGCAGGGGCCCCGCAACTGTTAAGCAAGCTAATCCGTGGGACGTGCTGGCAACAGCTCCTGGCACCTAGTGGGAAGCCAGTTAAGTGACCCGGGCAGCTGCCACCGGCATTGACCCCAAGTTTGGGCTGGCATCCCGGCCCCCACAGCTAGTGTGCTACCTGTAAGGAGCGGGAGCTGGGAGATGGCAGATCTGGCCACCTTCCTTGTTCCACGGGGGGACCAGGCAGCATGTAGAGGTGACTTTCAGGTAGATGGGGCTCTGAGCTCATCAGACCCACAGCCCAGGAAGCACCGGGCAGAGAGAACAGCAAGAATCTTCCAGTCACGCAGCTCCTACTCGATCTAGACGCCTGTGGGACCTGCAGGAACCCCTCCTGCTGCTGTCGGCTACAGCGGCCACTTTATCTGTCCAGCGGCAGGCGTGTCCACGCCACGCC